TATGTTCATTCCTTATGGGAAAGTGAACAAATAAAAACGTAATCAAATCGCGTTGAACGATCGTAGAGCAAAAAGGGCCAAAGCGAAATACGTTCAAATAAATTCCTTTATTATCAAACGTTCATTACAAAATTGCAGAATACAAAATGCTAAATGCTCTATAAACTACAATTAAGAGCAAAGTAATCTCCCGGTTGATCGCTGAGTAAGAGAGTGAACTGGCCTTAATTGCCATCCTGATCGTACTGCTCAAAGGCAAGCAGAGATGCCGAGAAGCACTCTCAACAAGCAAAAAGGAAGAAGAAACACCCTTACATCGCCTTTCTAAATGCATCGCTGCAATGACGGTCAAGGAGGCTGAGAAGCACTCTCAGCAAGCAAGGTGGCTTGCAGGCGTCCTCAAAATTGTCTTCCATCATCAAACTCCTTGTAAAGAACATGGAGACGATGGGAAGAAATTTGTTGGCCAAAGAATATTTTCTATATCTCCCATACCAAAGGTGATATCAAGAAAGATGGCAAAATGGGCGGATCAAATGATCCATTTCCATGGAAGACGAAAATTTTGGATCGATTGTCAAAATGCCAAACAATGGCAGCAAATTGGTTTTGAAGAAGAGAATGGAAGTGAAAATGATAAGTGTGGAATATAAGTGCATTTATAGAGGCGTGAAGGTGAAGTGACAGAATATCAACAGTCACATTCGTGCCTAATAATTAGAATCAAATGGCCAGAAGTCTTGGGAAAAGAAACAGAAATACCAAGAGAAAATATGCGTGAATCTTAGCATCAAGCTGTTAAATGTCTGGGGGGTTGACGATTAAAGACAACGTCAATAAATACACAAGAAGACAAATTAATCATTCATTAATGATAATGACTGCTGGTATGTTCAGAATTACCAATGGACATTAATATGAAGGTACAAAAAGAAAAGTTAAGGCATTAGATGTCTTAATTACAATTCGCCTCAAACTGAATGAATTCTTTCCCTAAGTCTCCCCCAATTCTCACTCTGCTGAGAAGAAGTGACATTTAATTCAGTCACAAAATCGTCATCAACTTCCAGCTTCTTGTACTGCTCGACCAAAGACTTAGTTCGCTCAATTCCTTGGGAGGCATTGCATTTTTTGGCAGCCATTCTCGCCTTGCAGTCGTCCATCCTTGCTTGAAGCTCCTTCATCTGTGCAGCCAAACTGGTCATCAAAGAGTTTTCAATCATGACTTCAGAAGAGATTTCTTTCAATTCGTCCTCAGCTTTGTTGATCTCCAGAAGCAAAGATTCTCTTTCAGATACAGCGCGAAGATATTGAGTACTTTTGGCCTTCAATTCAACATTTTTGGCCAGCAAGGAGAGAACCTCGGAATGGACAACTTTCAACGTCGCTTTAAAATCAGCAGAAAGATTGAGCGACGAAAGTGTCAGTGCTTGCTCCAATTTCGCATTCAAATGCTCAAGCTTATCCTTATGTTTGGCAACACTAGCCTGACCGATATCCATATCCATAAAGGACACATACTCAAATATTGACTGCTTGAGGAACTTCATATCTTCCTCTGAAAAAGCAGAAGGACGACTGGTTGAAGCAGGGCGAGACGTCTTGACTTGCCCCTAGGAAGTGAACAAGTCCTGGATGGAACACACAATCTTATCAGCATCCTACAAAGAAAGTTGCCAGTATTGAAGGTTTTCACTACAATAAACAAAGTGGAAGTAAAAGTGAATTAGAGATTACCTCATCAGCAATGTTAAGAGGTGTCATATCCCTCGCCAAATCTACCACCTGTGCTCCACCACTTGTGAAGACTTCCCCTTGTCTGAGCGAGAAGACTTTGCCGTAACGGGCAAACCCATGGGAGCATCTGCAAAACTCAAAAAGCAACAAATCAAAAACCAATAGCACAAGCAAAGGTAAAACATCAAAAAATGTATTACCTTCTGGTTTAACGTTTAGGGGGCTGACGCCCTGGAAAGAAGATGGCTCATCCATTGGTTGTGATGAGGATTCCGGGACTGAAGGTTTCTCTTTAAGCGTAGTCCCTTCATCGGCTGGTTTGGATGAAGCGGCCTCAGTAAAGGGTGATGGAGCAGGAGCTGCCAACACCAAAGCCTTCGAAGGAGAGGCTGAGCTTTTCTGAGAAATTCGAATAAACCATCAGCACATAGAAAAGTTTCAAGTATAGAAAGGTATGCTTGTGAGTAAACTAATTTAATTACCTTTCTCCTGATAATGAGAGGAGTGTCATCATCATCATCCTCCAAAATGGGAGATGCTGAGGCTGGCCGTTTGTGGCTTGGGATACTTTTAGATGTAGTAGGCTTGGCAGGAAGGGAAGTAGATGGACGAACAGACTGTTTAGCATGAGCAGAAGAGGAAGGACTCCTAATGGACAGAGGGGTGACCAAAACAGGGGAAGTGGAAGAAGTGTCCGGCTGATCCAGTGAATGGAAAGCGCGATTGACATCAGTTGCAAACAATCTGCGCTGCACTGATGGCCAGAGTTGTTCAAAAAGGGGATGGGTGGCATGACTAGGATTGAAAGGAGCTAATGAAAAGTTACTCGTCAAAAGAATATTGCGAGCATTTATAGCTTCTGCCTTTGCCTTATTTATGGTGTAGAAGCGATCTATCAAATTTCTTGAATAACAAGGAGGAACAAGCCAAGTTTGGCCGAAACCAAGTTGACGAGCAAAAAATTGGGGAGCATATATTTGAACCCCAGCTTTGGCATTAGTTCCAGTCAAAATATCATGGAACAACTCCCTCCCAGTCAAAAACTGAACCCAAACGAGCAGAGAAGTGCTCGCATTGTCCAGGGTAAATGGGGGATGCACATAATTAGGAGTTAAAAAGGGAGGAATGGGAAAGAAAGAAGGAATTGAATTCAAAATATAAAAGAATGAAAAAATATCCCTTTTGGACATATGTACAGGGCTCAGTGGGTCAATAGCTAGCCCATAGCAACTAGCAGAATGAAGGGAAAGAGATAGAGTATCAAGTGATGAAAAATAGGCTCTCAACCACATTTGAGTGAACCAAAGAGGCCAATTGCCAGTAGGAGATGCACCATTCTTCAATTGGAATTGGAGAGAAGCCATGCCTCTATAGAGGGCGGCCAAAAAGAAAGAGCACAAATTCAGGGGCCTACCACGAGCCAATTCGTGCGCTATGGGTAAATAGCTCATAGAAGGCTTCACGCTTGGCACACACAGAATATATTTACAAAGCCAAATCTGAAGAAAGGCCACACGCTCAGCATGAGAAGGCTCAGCGCTCGAGTGATTATAACAGCCTTTCAGGCTTGAATAGGACTCGGTGAGTTTTTTGTCAAATTTTGGGGCGATACCAGAAATCAAAATACCAGGGAAAATGGTATCGCCCAAAGGTGGCAAATTTACTAAGGCCCCAACATCCCTTAAAGTAATGGATATGGGACCAAGAGGGAAAACAAAAGTATTATACTTAGAGGACCAAAAACTTAATGCAATAGAGAAAAGCGCTAAATCAAAAATAGGGGGTTGAAGAGAGGTTTCTAGCAAATCAGAAATCCTAGCATTATCAAAAATTGCCTTGATAGGATCATGGTCCACAAGGCGAGCATGCCATCTACGGAAAACAACATCAGATTTAGGCCAAATGCGAATACCTCTTTCGCGAAGCGGTCTCAGCAGCAAAGAGTTTAGAAATGGAGGGCCTTGAGTACAAGGGAACAACTGGCCCACCGCCACTTGTTTGATGGCCTCGGCGTTATTGAATGAGGGACCTAGATAGAACTCGTTGAGTTCGGCATTGGCTGGTGCAAGGAAGTTAGGAGTTATATATGGCCGAGTGAAGAGTTTCTGGAAGTCTTCGAAACTGAAAGAGTCACTAGATTGGGATTGTGAAGCAGCCATTAGGAACGAAATAAAGTTTCGTTGAAATTTGCTCAAGAAACGTAGCAGAGAAGCAAGAAGATAAACAGTAATATTGCGAGAGAGAAGCGTGAAGCAATGAGGCGTGATTTAGTAGTGCGATGAAATGACGTGTATTTGGGGGTTATAAGGGTTTGCAACGTCTCACCTTTTCAGGCTATGCAAGAAAATGATGATTGAAATTCTTGGGAATTTCAAATGTTGTTGAGAAACAAAAAGTGAATATGGCAAAAATTAATAATTGGTATTAATTCTGCCATATTGGGGGGTAATTGTTGACATGCTAAAAGTGCAGCCCAATTTAAATAGCCCAAAGAATGAAGCCCAACTGGGCAATTCAGGATAAAGGCCCAAATAGGGTTATTAATGAATGCAGTGAAAGCCCACGAATGCGGTAACACCATTGCCCAAATTTACAAGATGCCCAGGATCTGAGCGAATGAAGTGCCTTGCAGTCACCCAGAGTTATGACCCTGTTCTTGCCCAAACTTTCGAATCGCCCAAGATCTTAGCAAACATGAGATGTTATGGTTATCCAAAAGTGCAATTATCAAAGCAGTTATTGGGTAATCTTATCACGTTCCACGATTCAAGGATGTTCAGTTGAGGACGGTTGAACGACAAAGAGTAATGGCAGCAGTTAGAGACGGTAGTTCCACGATAAGTTGGCCACCATGAAGAAAGTGGACAGTTATAAAGCAATTAAGCAGTTTCTAAGCGGCTGATCACAAAGAGAGCATCAAGGGAATATAAAAGGAAGAAAAGACATAGAGTAAAGGACCCCGAATCAGAGAATATGTAATTTTAATTTTTTAGTTTAGACTTAAAATATTTCCTTTCAGTATTCGTGTGCTTGCGCCCCTTGGAGGCATTTTGTTTAAGTTCTAATTGTAAAGTCACCGCCAATAAAACACCCCTTTTTGGGACTTTGTCTCAAGAGATTTGTTCCTTTCACAATCGTCTGATCCATTTTTAATTGTTAGCGACTACCCGTGCGAAACACAGTCCCTTAACAAAAATTCTAGATCCGGCCCCGTAAGCTATTTGTTTTCTGGTAAGTGAAATAAGTTAGTGAGGATTTTAGTATTAATTTCCACCATAACGTCTCTCTCTTTTCTGAAATGAGATCAAGACCTCTATAAAATCTTCTTCTTCAAAGTCCGGAAGTTTTTTAACAGAAAAGAAGACTTCTGTGTAAGCCAACTGCCACAGGTAGAAATTGCTTATTCTTTGCTCACCACTTGTTCGTATAAGCAAATCCGGGTTAGGAAACTCAGCACAGTTTGTTTCCAATTCCTTCTCAAATAAGGTTTCATTGATATCTTCGACTTGAAGAGAGCCATCTTTAACTTTACTGGCTATGCTTCTACTAGCTTGCATGACGTCGTATCGTCCACCGTAGTTTATGGCTATCATAAGATGGAGTCCCATGTTGCCTCTTGTTGAATTCTCTACGGTGGCTATCAACTCTTGCAATGATTTGGGGAGCTTTGATTTGTCTCCGATGAATGATATTTGCACATTGTATCTGTAAAAGTAAAGAATAATGCAAAGTTTTTAATTTTAAGCACAATCCCTCTTCTAATTAACTTTATGGGCAGGTAGAGTCAGGACATGAAGAAAGTAGACAGTATTTATTCTTTGTTATAGTTCCCTATTGTGTAGTTCACCTATTAAATACACCACTTATGTTTATTGTTGATTCCATCGTCAAGTGTTTTTTGGGTTTCCCAGGACGTAAGAATGCTCTAAAAATATGTTAATGTCATCTTTCTTAAATTATAATTTGCTTCCACGGTTCGGCCAATTTTCTAATTTCGACAAAGGGTTGCAAAAATTGATTCTTAAGATACAATGAATCTCTCAAAGATTTTTGAAAACTTAGTTGTTCATAGAACCATTAATAATACACACTTACATGCAGGCACATAGATACTATGTGGCCCTTCTAACAAAATTTACGTTTTAAGTCAGAAAATAGACTTAGAGATTACCCCATAAATTCCTGCAGATCGTTTTGCATTACCTCTTCAAACAGGCTCATCAAAGCGTCAACCTGCTCCTACTCCATACCAACGTGAATCATAATTAAATACTGAAGAAACAATCCAGAAATTATAGATTATATATCTTGCATGCAAATATTGCACTGGGTAGAACATCTTGAACAGTTTCATGTCAAGTGATGACTGTTAATTGCGATTGAGTGCATTTACTTTGGGTCGAACCCAGTTCTCGGTCGAAAATGCAAAGATGGAAACAACTTTGATTCTCCACTTGCAGCAGAGAAACACTATCTCCTTTATTACACGGCCACCATTCCGGTGATTAGGCAGAAGCTCTTTGAAACCTCTCTCATTTGCCCATCTGCGGTTACCATCCAAAATAATAGCAATGTGATTAGGCAGAAGCTCTGGCTTGAGGCCCCCCGGCAATGTTTCCTGGATTTGTACTGCTTTTACGAGAGAAAGCTCGTTGGCAAAAAAAGTCTCTCTCCTCCCATCTCGGGCAATACTCTCGCTACAACACATTGTCAAAGGGCAAGGAAAAGGAAATCGCAAGGCATCTTGCTCAGCTTGGAGTGAGAGTGTAGTGGGACTGACTGCCCCGAAGACAAATCCTACCTTGACACAAGAATTGACTAAAAATGCCATTATTGAACTCCAAAATTAAGAGAAAAACGCAAATACTAAACCTTCCTATTCTTCTAGTCACCTCTTTAATTTGATTTCCCTGTGCCAGCCGTCTCAGTTATATAACCAATTTTTGACAGATTTGACTAACCTCCACAAGAGGAATTTTGAGTAGGGCATATTTTAATAACCCACGTTTGTTAAGAAGCCCTAATACTTATGTATATTAAATTAAGAATTATAAAATGTCCTATAAAAGTGTCATCCAGAGCTAGAGTTTTTGGGGCCTCATCGTTTTGGAAAAAATGTTATACGACTGATGGTAATTAACTCTCTGGCAAATCTTGATTTATGTACTGTGTATTACATAATATATTTACCTGGAAACACGATAAATTTAATTAAATAATAAAGGACTAGAAATATATAAATTAGAGATTAGAAAGTAATTATATTTTGGAGAGTCCTTTAGGTATTAGTGACTTAACACTACGTCAAGAAAAAAAAAACTCTTTTAAGCTCACAAGAGTATCTTCAATTAGGGAAATCCTCTTGATTGTAGCTTTCGCTAGACCTCCAAAAAAAGCATTTTTTAATCAATGGTCACTGAATTTTGCTTTATGTTACTATTTGCTAATCGATATTTAAAAAAATTACTTATTGCTCATTAAACTTTGCTATGGATAACATTGATGGAAATGATATGAATGATTGATGAGTAACTTTGTTCAAAATTGGGTAAACAACGAATAACATTTTACATTTTGGTGAACAAGTAGTAAATTATAGTAAAGTTCAGTGAGCAAAGAATAACTTTTTAATTTTCAACAAGCAAGTAGTAACCCGTACCTAAAGTTTCGATATATTAGAAGGCTAAAAATACATTCAACAGCATAAAATCATGCAATAAGGCACGTAGGTGTCTCCTGGGCAGAAATAAAAATAAGAACAAAAATTTGTCTTAACCTAAGCTTAGTATATAAGAACAAAAATTTGTCTTAACCTAAGCTTAGTATTGACAACTGTTTAGTTTATTGTCAAGCACACAATATAAAAATTAGGCAGTGTCATAGCAGGTAGGTTAGTTAATGATCATAGGCTCTTATTCCAGTTATAGAAGAACTCCAGAAAATAACTCATTCTCCTTGACACAGTCTCTTGGAAATTATTATATGAGTCGTCCAAACCATGCGTGACCTGAACCCCTCAACAATTTTCGTCGATGTTCATTTATGGTCTACATATGTGAGTCCTCCAAATATAACTATCATCTCGATACCATCTTGGTACTCATTAAAGTGATATCCCTCCTAATATCAAATAATTTAGCACTAATTAGGGACGAGCACGAATAATATAGTGCTTTTACGAGTGATGCAAAAATATATATTTTTTCGTTTGAAATATCACAAGTATGCAGTTCATTACCACATAGTAAGACTCTACTACAATTGATATTATGTCTCCTCTATTTTCAATATTTCGAAGGTAAAAAAAGTCACAAAATTCATATAATCATTGTGTACATAATTGTAGAGAAGAGTTAAACCATACAAATTGTTCAATAATTGAAAACATGCTTTAAATGTCAAAGAGAAATAAAAGCAAGAGTTAAAGGTTCATGTCGCAAGTTTTTTCGTAATCCTAGCACAAAACTAATTTAGCCTAAAATGTTAGTGGAAAGAAAACAAAAGAAATAAAGATAACCCATGACCTAAAATTCTTGGATTTGATCTTACTTTGTTCTTTGCCTCTTTTTGCAATCAATTGTCCTAAGTAATTACGTGTTGATAATTAATATTTATACTAGTTTTCAAAGTATTCCAAACGTCACTTAAAATCATAAAATAATGGCTAATAGAAAGTTTCCTTGTTTGAATAGAATTCTGAATGCCTAGGAAGTCAAATTAGCCCCTGTTTTATATTTCAAGGTCTGGGCAGTCGTCTAGTCCATATAACTGGTGGAATGCCCAGTTACAACGACTTCCCAATTTTTTCGTTTTGGTCATCTTCTTCATTCTTTCATCAATTGCAATCCTTTCACTTTAAATTACTTCTGTTTTGGACCTTCAACTTCTATTTGCATTCAATTTGAACTATTAACATCTTTAATCTTCATTTTGTGGTCCGAATCAACTATTAAAAATATTGCAATTTTGTACCCATACTTTCTTTTTGCCAATTTTTTTTTTATCGATTTTCACTTTTTTTTTTTTTCAATTCCTCTTCCATTTGAGTTTCACATAATAAATAAAATATTTAATAAATTAGGTCATAATTAATCAAAATAATTTCGAAATATCTATATCTAAAGGCCCCAATAAGTATATAAAATGCACTTGTCAACAAGTCATGCAATCTAAATTGTTTTTGCCCATTATACCTTGTTTGTGGGAATATTCACAAACGTTGGGTCAACCATTTTTGTTTCCCAAAATTTTGAACTTAAAAAATAAGAAAATTGTATTATTGGTGTCCAACCTCAAAAGGGTTAAAATTGGTTAAATTTGTAATGCACATAATTAAACATAAGAAAGGCTGTATTGCAGACTAAAGGTGTTCTTACAAAAGGACACAATTCGCACCATTCGGTGTAAATTAAAATCAAATTTTTAGTGGATTTTGATCAAGGTTAATGAAATATGTAATAAAAATTAATTGATGGCTTTCAATTGAAACTAAAATTATATTTTAGCATACAAGGTTACTTGGTAAAGTTAAAATCACGTAGCGTTTACATTATTGAAAAAACCTTTAAGTCTGTGACATGTAGTACTAGACTTGATAGTTGTCAAAGACTAAGTTTGCTTTTTTTCTGAAACTCAAGATCAAATGTTTTTTACCTTGAATTATGCCATTTTTACACCTTTTTTTTTTTTTTTTTTTTTTTTTTACACCTTTTTTTTTTTTTTTTTTTTTTTTACACCTTTTTTTTTTTTTTTTTTTTTTTTACACCATTGTTGAAATTACAATTATTGTCACCAAATAGCTAGATGAAAAAAATTGTCCTTTTTTTTGTAACTGTCCATTGGTGTAATGCCACATGGCAGGTGTAAATCATGGTGTATACCAAGCATGATTGTTTTCCCTTTGCTCTATTACTTGTATACCAATAAAGAAAGAGAGAAATCAATATAGGATTCCTGTTGCTTCATTTCCTAATTAAAGGTTGGAAAGTAGAGTTTTTTTAATAATTAGGTGAAAATGGATTTGAATTTAAGATATTTTTCCATTTAAATACTATGTTTATCTATTTTATCTAAAAGTTTTATTAAAAAAGATTTTTTAAAATTTTTTTTTTTTATTTTCAACTCAATATGATTCTGTGAATATAAAAAATGCCTGACCCTAACAACTTTTCCTTCCCTCGACAACACGCATGAACACAAAGATCAATGATTGTATAAGAAATGGACCGTGCTACATAGACATAGATGATGACACTTCGGTCGACATAGCACACACACATGGGGGAGGTCGGGATTATTTTATTCATGGGGACCCACACCTCAATTGTGAGTGCTATATCACTCATTGTGTCAAAACCTATATTCGTTTGGCTTAATTCATAAGAAATTTATAAAACATTTCACTTATTTATAAAAATAGCTCCAATTATAGCAACTAGATAATATATAAAATCACACTGCTAGTCTTTGTTTTTTCATTAATGGTAAAAGGATGCCCTATCTAATAATATATAAAATCAAAGAAGCTAATAAATATCTGCAATACTTTTTTGACCTGATTATATATGTATTTTATCTCCATCTGAAATTTGATAATTAGGTACAACCCGCTGACTGAAGTCACATTTACTTCGACAATCTTGTTAACTAATTACAGTTGTTGAGGATTAAACATCACTAAACACTGATATCATATTTATAAACATTCAACATAAATCACTTAAGTAGTCGCTTGATCCTCTTTTCAGGACGACGATTTCAATAAGAATTTGTGTTCTCTAATTCGCTTATTCTCATGATCCAAATTGATCAAGATATTTGGTCAGTCAAATTAATCTCACACATTGATAAATCAAGTAATTATTAAACTTAAAAAAGATGCACACAATCATGTCTAAGGATTTATATGAAATACTTGACAATCAAGTAAAATTTAATTCTCCTTACGACTGTGCTATAGAACTAGACTCAATACATGATGTGTACAACGAACGCCAAGTGCACTAGTGTCACCTATTAATTAAACTATTTCCACAACAAGAACAAATTATAAACCCGAATAATGAATTAGTTAACACTACATCTTTTCATTACAAGGTGTTAACTCTATACATTAATTATGAACAATTTTTCTAAGATCAAATATAAGTTGTGTCACATAATACTTCTCCAAGCAAACACCCAACTTGTCTTTTCAGGACGACGATTTCAATAAGAATTTGTGTTCTCTAATTCGCTTATTCTCATGATCCAAATTGATCAAGATATTTGGTCAGTCAAATTAATCTCACACATTGATAAATCAAGTAATTATTAAACTTAAAAAAGATGCACACAATCATGTCTAAGGATTTATATGAAATACTTGACAATCAAGTAAAATTTAATTCTCCTTACGATTGTGCTATCGAACTAGACTCAATACATGATATGTACAACGAACGCCAAGTGCACTAGTGTCACCTATTAATTAAACTATTTCCACAACAAGAACAAATTATAAACCCGAATAATGAATTAGTTAACACTATAACTTTTCATTACAAGGTGTTAACCCTATACATTAATTATGAACAATTTTTCTAAGATCAAAATATAAGGTGTGTCACATAATACTTTTCCAAGCAGCACCCAACTTGTTTTATCATAAATAATCATAATTATTTTTTATTCATATGCTTAATTTAAATAAATGCAATAACACAAAATAAAA